CAAACAAAATATTAAATATTTTTTTTTAAATCTATTAAATAAATTAAATATTATTGTGATAACTAATTAACTAAATTATTGAATTATAATATAATCTTAATATATTATAGTTATCTAAAATTTAAACAAAATTATTATTTTTTATATAAAAGTACAAAATAGATATAATAAAACAGGATTACCTAGTTAATATTATCGTCTATAAAATATGTAACCAATAATTGATAAGCTGTAAGTAATTAGTTGAATAAATTTCAAAAATATATATATAAAGAAAATCCAATTATTAGTATTGATTTATAAATAAATCGATATCTAATACTAAACTAAGTCGGGAATCACATTAACTGCCTGTCCATTGGCTTCGGGTAGGTTTACTTGAGGTTGATGTTGTAGTATTAGCTGCTGATGTTCGGCATCTACCGGTACTAATGGCTCATTTATCATAAAATTTAGGTCAATGACATCCAATGCCATGGCTATGCCAATAGTATCGGAAACAAACTGGCCATTAGTGTTGTTGTTGTTGTCGCTGTTGTCATCGTCCTCCTCATCATTATTATCATTAATTTGGCCATTGATTTGGTCACCGCCAGCTTCGAGATTACTGTCCTCTTGAAAAATACTTTCATAATCATTGAATATGTTGTCCCAGTAATTGTTGTCTGTATTATTGTCGGACATTGAATGGATACTTAAAAAAATATATATATATATATAAAGATAATATTAAAATAATGTTATTTTTATTAAATATATCATATATTTTGTATATAAAAACCTTATAAAATTTATTATTATTATGACTGTAAACATTAGTGTTAACGACATATTACTTAAACAATTATGTTATACATTGATTTTTAACTCTTTTAACTTTCTCTCTTATTATTTTTCTTTAATAGCTCTTTACTATCACTAACTACCTGTCCTACCTGTGTGTAAGTATATGTTGCTTACGTAAAACCTGTATACCATATATGCAGTTTTGTGTAAAGTGATGCTAAAAAATGCAATGAACCAATAGTAGGGATTTACTATCAGTAGTAGTATTTAATAGTAACATTGCCTATATCATAACATCTAGGTCAATGTCAAGGTAAACATCATGGTTCATCTAGTGCTTGGTTTATGCCAATAGTATCGGTGTTAATAAACTGGCAAATGTTGTTGTTGTCATCGTCATCATCAATATTACCATCAATTTAACCATTGATGTCGTCACCGCCACCACCACTATCACCATCAGCTTCGAGATACTCTTCAACAAAAAAAATAGTTTTATAATCATATTGGAAAAAATGTTGTCCCAGTAATTGTTGTCTGTATTATTGTCGGACATTGTATGGATGCTTAAAAATAACATAAGATAATAYAATTAATAGTAAGTTTTTTTATATAAATATATCATATATTTTATATAAAAACCTTGAAAAGTTGGTTAGTTATTATCAATATTATTATCACTGCAAACATTAGTGTTAACGACATATTACTTAAACAATTATATTATACTTGATATAACTTTTTTATATTAACTCTCACTTATTTTCTCTATTAGTTCTCTCTCTCTCTCTCTCTCTCTCACACACTACCTACCTGTCCATTGTGTAGTTATGTTACGTACCTAAAAAAAACTGCATACTATATATAAGTTTTGTATGTAATGTTTTAAAATATAAGATCTATCTAACAGTAATAGTAGCTGAAGTCCTATATTTTTAATTAAATTTATGAAATAAAATATTAAGATTATATAAAATTAATTGTTGTACATAATTTGTTTTAATTTATCTAGCTTATATTACCCATATAAATATAATAAAAATATACAAAAATAAATATAATTATACATATTTACTTATTTTTATATCATGTAATTATATATATATTCATGAGTTTATTATACAGTATATACCGTGGTACTATAATTGTGGTACAATTGATATGATAAAAAATAAGTAAATATTTGTATATTAAAATATAAATAAATCTAATCATCAAAATTATTAAAAAAAACACTTTAGATTAGATATTTATTTATTTATTTCAAAAAAAATAAAAGTTGTCTATGACGGATATGATTTTTATTGTTTAACAAATTTATAATATGTATCAACAACAACAAAATATTATAATTTATTTAGTAACAAACTAAATGTGATAGACAAAAAAAAATATTACTTATATAGTGCCGCAAAATTTAATTTTAACTAATTTTTTTAATTATAAATAATTTTTTTTTTAAATAAATATTTCATCATAATTCGATTAAATTATACAGTAGAATTTTTTTAAATATAATATAAAAAGCTTATTTGTATGTATGTGTGTGTTTGTTTTCAAGATAATAGATTTCAACTATAATAATAATAACATTAGTTTAACAATTCAATTTTTATTTTAAAAAATTGATTAAAAAAATAAAATAAAATATATATAACAGTAAATCAGTAAAAATAAATTTAAAAAATTTGAAAAATGTATTATCAGTAGTGTTTAGTTTCTCAATAGTAATCAACAACAATAAATACAAGAAAAATTATTGCACTTTTCTTAATTTCAAAATTATATTACTTATTGAAAAAAATATCAATTATTTTTTTTAAAAAAAATTATAACACAATTGAATAGACGTTTTGTGCCGTTTGAAGGACTATAATCTGTGTCCCGTTATTATTATTATTATTATTATTACCGCCAACACCGGTGCCATCGATTGGTACGGCTATATATAGTACGACACCGGAAATTTCAATCACTAAAATACAATATAATAATAATAATTAATTTTAAAAATTTAATATTTTTAAAACAAATAATTACCTAATGGTGTGATAGAGTAGTTCACTAGTAGTTGTGGTGGTATCTGATTGTTGACCAATTCTTGTTGAGCTAACTGTTCGACAGATTGTCGGACACATTGAGGCACACGAGCTATTAGACAGTTGTTATCGTCGGAGTCGTGATTGACTTCGGGTAGGTCTGGAATCACAGGAATAATTGGTTCGTCGATAAGTTCTACCGATTGCTCATCACTTCCGGCCAATGATGATGACTCCGAAAGTATAGTCATATCATCCAAAATATTATGGCCATCTATTGATAACTGTCCGTCAATATGGTCAGTGTTAGCATCAGTATCGGACAATTGGCTAATAACAATAATATCATTGCTGTCATCCATTATGATAGTGTCCGAATAATTATATCGGATATTATTATTATTATTAACCGACATTATGTACACCACATAAAACCAATTAGATATACAACTGTGATATGTCAACTAAATTATTAATCATATAATTTTTAAATAAATTATTAAATAAACTAAATAATAAAAGTAAAACAAACATATTTATAGACATAACGTTTGTTTTTAAAAATATAATCTTGAATTAGTATAGTATTTGAAGTATTCTGAACTTATTCGACAAAACAGTTGATTAGAAGATATAAATCTATATTAATAACTAATAAACAAATTTATAGATAAATATATTATTTGCAAATTACATACAGAATGAAATATAATGTTTTTTTTAGAGATAGAGAGAGAGAAAAAAAATTATTACAATAAGATAAAAGTATAAATATATTATCTGTTTATTACTATACAGTGACATAATAAAATGATAATAAATTGTATAATTTTAAAATCAAATATATATATATATATATATATATATATATATAATTTAAAGTATTTTATGATAGCTTTTTAACGCATGTAAGATTAAACAGTTTATTTTTTATCATGTTCATCTTTATTTACCTAAAAAAAAATATTGCATATATATTTATAATATAAAGTCACGTATAATTTTTATAAATATTTTTAGTAAATACATATATTTATGTAAAAAAAAATTATTAAATTAAATAATAGAAAATTATTTTTAGTTAATAGTTTTATAAATACATTTAAATTTTAACGAATTTAATTAATTAATACATAAAAATTATACAATTTTAGATTAAGTTTAAAAATTTTATTTTCATAAAACAATTGACTTTAAAAATATGTATTATGATTATATAAACGGAGATTTTCATTTGTAATATAAATTATATAATTTAAAGTTACTTTTTTTATATTATTTATTGTTATAATTAAATAAGTTAACACAAATATATTCATCATTTTATTTATTTTAAATATTAAATGTATAAAATAAATTATTTTATTTTATTTTTCTAAATTTGGTTGAAAAACAAATTAAATAATTATTTAAAAGTATTTAACAAATTATTAAATAATAGATTTTATTTATTTAATTTGACTAATTATATAAACATTTTTCAATTTTGACTATACAAAAAATTTTTAACATAGACAACATTTAAATTATACAAATTAAAAAAAACAAACATTACAATTTTTTGGTATTGAATTAATTTTTAACATTTTATATATATATATTGTTTTTAACATAATTATAATAATAACATTCAATTAAAAAATATATTTATAAATATACAAAAAAAATGACTTATAAATGAAAAATAATAAAATTATTTGTTTTTTAAATTAATTAATGACTTTGATTATGAATAATACGTTATTTAGATTATAAATAGAAAAATTAAATTAAATAAAATAGTTTTTTTTAAATTCATATCTAAAATTTTTAAAATTGATATTATATATGTATATATATATACCCTATATATACAATATACAGTTTATATATTGGAAAATATTAGATAAATTTACAATTTATCTGTTTAAAAAAGAAATTTTTATATATAAAAAAATACTTTAAAAAAGATTCTTATTATGTTTTATATTAAAAATTAATAATTAAGATTCAAATATATTATTAATATTACTGGTAATAATCGTTATGTATTTTTTATGTCATGTAATTTTCGTAACACAGGTCAGGTCAGATCAGGACAGGACAGGACAGGTAGAAAAATAGACAATGTTTTAGACTAACATATAGTAAGTAATGGATAGTATTTTGTTTTTTAAGTTAATAAATTTAAGCTGAATATTATAGATGTAACTGCATATTAGTACTTTGGCACCGGTAGTATTGGGAACTAAATATTACAGTACAATTGGTTGGACGTAGTCAACGGTTTGCAGGACTAGTATTCGAGGCCAGGGATTATCATCCATATGGCCACCAATTGGCACAGCTATGTATAGCAAATGTCCCGGACGATCAATATCTAATCAATCAATCAATCATAAAAAATAAGTTTATTATTGTAAAAAATTATTTGCAATATAATTATTTACCCAATAGATTGATAGCGTAGGGCAGTGCCTGATTGTTGTTGGCCTGGTGTTGTTGTGCTGCCTGTGCTACCGCTTGTCTGATACATTGTGGCACTTGTATGTTAACCGGGTTGGCGACAGCAGCGGCAATGGCTACTCGAAGCTCTGGTATCACAAGTGATTGATTGATTTGCGGTTGAAGAGGAGGAGGTGGTGGTGGTGGTGACGGCGGGGGATGAATATAGATAACAGGTATACCGTTATTATTGGGAACAAGCTGTCCGTTGGCAGCAGCGGCGGCACCGGCGGCTGCCATACCGGGATTGTCATTGTTTTCTATGTCAACCAAATCATGGAAACCGTAGTTCCACTGGTCGGGCGGCGGGTATCTGTCCGCGCACATTGTCTTTATCGGTGCAAATGATTTTTTTTGGTGATAAATACCTGATACTTAAATCGGTAAATACATTGCATTTGTATTATTAATTGTATGATAAAAAAAATTGTGATAAACTTTTGATAAATAATATTTTACGAGTCTATCTGTCTGTCTCTCTCTCTCTCACTCTCTCTCTATCTATCTATCTCTCTCTCTCTCACTTTCTCTCTCTTTCTCTAAAGTTTTATAAATTAATTTCAGTAAAACACTTGTATGTATGAACTAATACTATAGGGGTCTCTCTTTTTCTCTCTTATGTAATATTATCTTATGATAAAACTTGTTTAATGTTTATATTATTGTCAGACATTACACTAAACTCTAAATAATGTACACACATGTCATGAGTTAATATTTTCAACTAATTATCAAAATTAAATAAATTTTGTTGGATCTTCGGGAGGGAGGGAGTGGGGAAATGGGGACAGTTTTTAGCTGATCGGGTAAAGGTATGCAATCATAATAAGACACACATATAGTTGATGTCATATTTTTTATATATATAGATTTACCATACAATTGATATATATATACAGTATTTGTCATCGAAACATAATATTATGGTTAAACATACGCAGAAAATCTGTCTTATAATTATTACTGATCCAAACAATTGCTGCTGAGGTTGACCACACCTGTCTGTGACAAGTGATATGATTGTGGTGTCCAATGACTTCCGAGGGAACAGTTATGACCAATACTTTTGGTAAATAAAATAATTAAACAGATAATACTTGAAAAACAATGTCAATGAGTAGAGGACATACCCGGGGTATTTAGAGGCTAATTTAGTTGTTGTCAGTCGAGTATCAGTCGGGGGGTTTCGCCCATCAATTGATCCCTGATTTAGCAATCAGTTTAGTTGAATGTTGGTGTTTGTATATATATATAGTTATATATATAAATACCTACTTGAAAATATACATAATATATTAGCTAATAATTATTGATACTATACACACAACACACAATTAAAAACAATTAAATTTCAAATTGTGTAGATATATATATATATATATATATGTGATGGGGTTAGGGTAGCTATACTACTAGTTTTTAGGTGGCTTATCCTTTAACAGAACCCAATTAAAAATAAAAATGGCTTTTATTTATTATATTATATCAATAGCTCAAATGTTGGATAGTCGTATAGCGACACTATGCATAGATCTGGTATAACTAATAATGTACATGTATGTGGTACCCCCCCCCCTGCCCAACCCCCGATACTATTATTGATTCCCCACCATCCCAACCACCGATATGAGTTGTGAGTTCGAATCCAATCTAGGTAATTGTTAGATTTTTTGTGTGTGTGCATTATTCAATTTTTTTAAAAAATAAATTACTAATAATTCTTTTATTTATTCAATTTGACTAATTATTTAAACATTTTTTGCAATTTTTTTTGACTAAACAACTAATTTTTAACATTTAAATTTAAACAAATCAAAAAACAAATATTACAAATAACTTATTATAACAATAATTTTTTTGGTATTAAATTAATATTATTTTAACAATATTTTGTTTATAACATAATTATAATATGATAACATTCAGTTAAAAAAATTCATTTATAAATATACAAATAATTGAATAATAAATGCAAAATAATAAAATTATTTGTTTTTTTTAAAATTAATTTATGACTTTGATTATGAATAATACGATATTTWGAGTATAAATAGATAAATAAAATTTAATAGTTTTTAAAAATTTTACATATATAAAATTAATAAAACTGGAATTATATATATATATATAGTAAAATATTATATAAGTTTACAATTTATCTGTTTAAAAAAGTAATGTTTTTTATAAAAATAGAAAAATTTATAAAAAATACTTTTAAAATATTTTCTTATTATATTTTATATTAAAATATAAATATGAAAAAATTAATAATTAAGATTCAAATATATTATTATTAATATTACCGGTAATAATCGTTTTCTATATTTTAAAGTACAGTACTATTTTTTCGTGTCCTGTATTCACGGGAATAATATTTTAATACAAATTGAAATCATCGTAACACAGGACAGGTCAGATCAGGACAGGACAGGACAGGACAGGAAAAATAGATAGTTTTTTAGACTAACATATAGTAAGTTTTTGATAGTGTTTTGTTTTTTTAAGTTAAATATTTAGATGTAACTGTATATTAGTATATTGGCACAGGTAGTATCGGGAACTAATATTACAGTACAATTGGTTGAACATAGTCAACGGTTTGCAGGACTAGTATACGAGGCCAGGGATTATAATCCATATGGCCACCAATTGGCACAGCTATGTATAGCAGATAACCCGGACGATTAATATCTAATCAATCATGAAATAAAATCAGTTTATTTTTGTTTAAAAAATTAATATATATTTATATATTACTAATAGAATTATTTACCCAATCGATAGATAGCGTAGGGCAGTGCCTGGTTGTTGTTGTTGGCCTCGTGTTGTACTACCTGTGCTACAGCATCTCTTATAATTTGTGGCACTTCTACGTTAGCCGGGTTGCCGACGGCAGCGTCAATGGCTGCTTGAATCTCTGGTATATCAATTGTTTGATTAATTTGCGGGAAAGGAGGAGGAGGTGGTGGCGGCGGGGGATGAATACCGGCCACTGGAATCCCGATCTCAGGTATACCATTGTTATCGGCGACAAACTGTTCGTTGGCATTGTTTACAGCAGCGGCTGCGGCGGCACCGGCGGCTGCCATACCGGCATTGTTATTGTTTTCTATGTCAGCCAAATCAGGGAAACCGTAGTCCCAATTCTCAGGTGCCTCTCTCGGGCCCATTGCCTTTAATCGGTGCAAATGTTTTTTTGGTGATAAATACCTGATCCTGAAATCGGTAAATACATTGCATTTATATTATTAATTGTATGATAAAAAAATTGCGATAAACTTTTGTTGAATAATATTATATGAGTCTATCTGTCTATCTCTCTCTCTCTCTCTCTCTCTCTCTCTCTCTCTCTCTCTCTCTCTCTCTCTCTCTCTCTCTCTCTCTCTCTCTCTCTCTCTCTAAAGTTTTATAAAGTAATTTCAGTAAAACATTTGTATGTATGAACTAATACTATAGGGGTCTCTCTTTTTCTCTCTTATGTAATATTATCTAATGATAAAACTTGTTTAATGTTTATATTATTGTCAGACATTACACTAAACTGTAAATATATACACACATGTCATGAGTTAATATTTTCAACTAATTATCAAAATTAAATAAATTTTGTTGGATCTTCGGGAGGGAGGGAGTGGGGAAATGGGGACAGCTTTTAGCTGATCGGGTATGAAAGGTATGCAATCATAATAAGACACACATATAGTTGATGTCATATTTTTTTATATATAGATTTACCATATAATTGATATATATATATTGAGCTCATGTATACAGTGTTTGTCATCTAAACATAATATTATGGTTAAACATACGGACAAACCTGTCTTATAATTTACTGATCCAAACAATTATCTGTATGTATAATATGTATGATAGTTATGGTAGTTGTAGTGGTAGTGGTATTATTGGACACAACTATAGTTTAGTTCAATAATAATTGTTTGAATAATCGTATCTTTTATATATCACCAATGATTCATCTCTTAATTATCTGATATAAATATAAATTAAAATTATTATTAATATATTTTATTATTATTAAATTTTTAATTATTTTTTTTATAATTTACAATATATCATATATATACATGATATTCAAGCTATACATCAGTAATCAGTAAAAAAACAGTAATCATCAAATGCCATACAATTATTATATACCTAATAAACGGGGAACCAGTAGTTTTGGTCAGTCAATTGATAGTATGGATAGTGTAATGCAATTAAAATGCAAAACTATACATAAGTTTAGTATACCAGCAACAGCACAGACAGTTAGTGGATATTTGGTTGTTTGATATACTAGTGTCGATCAAATTGAGTTATGTATCAACTATATGGTCAAACATCGGTAACACCGACTGTGAAAAAAAAAATCTTCGACCCGACAGTCGGCCGACAGGACTAGCTATTGATAATTGACTGGAAAATGGCTTAAATGTATGCGTGAGCCGAATATGACGTCACTGGCGAACCTATCATATAGTCGACACACATATAGTACGTGTTTTTTAGGAATAGTTAATAAATAACGTACAACTAATTAATAACACTATTAATACTGTAGTTGTTATATACCCCCGCCTCCCCTCCCACAGGAAACTTTTCACGAATTCCTGAAAGGAATACGTATATRCATTCTAAAAGTCTGTCTGTCTGTCCCACGAGGACATAGGTTCGAATCCAGGCTCCGCTACAATTTTTTTTAATTTTTTTTKATTTKTTWAAWTTTTTTTCCTTTTTAAGTTAAGGAATTCGTATGGAAATGCTTTTAAAGCATTCTCAACTGGTTTTTTATATAAATAAATTGCTGGCATTTGATTGGCTACTAGTTGTTGGTYWAMMAGTAGTAYAGTATTGATGCGTACGTGTTGTTTGTTGACCGGTRTTTATGACTAGWAGTGTTGGGTGAACCGGAAAACCGCCGTGGCCGCAATCCACATGCGGACATTTGTACGGCATTTTCCCGCCCCCCCCCCCCCGAGTGGCCTGACTGGGGTGGGCTGCGCTATGGATAGAGGGCTTCGATTAAAGTCGTCTAAAATTAATATCAATTTTAATATGACTAYACACAACACCASCCCTACCTAACACACACACACACACACACACACACTACTAACTAACCCCACCAACCCTACCATCACTTTCATTAATTTCCCGACTGTGRTGTCCAACTGTACGTAATATACTGAYAGGTAATGCCTGTACACTGGTGTCCCGTGCCTTAACATACATAAGCGCCGACATACCGGTGAATATATAGAGCCATATGTTTTCTGGTTACGACAGATGAGACAAACAATTTTCATCGATACCCCCGATCTGAACGCATGATTATATAATTGAAAAACAATACATAATACCGGTTAATATGWTTTTTTTCTCTCTTAATAATTATATTCATATATTAATTAGAAATTTATTTAAATTATTTACTTATTTAATAGAATCTGCAGTAGAGTAACCAAAATGTTATATTTAATTATTAAATTAAAAAATAATTAATTTTTTTCTACAAATATATATATTTCAGTCAATTTTGTTTGAAAAACAATTAAACAGTAGTTTAGTGGTAGTAGTATTAYCAGTAAATCTATAGATATTTWGAAATATGACTTTTAAATTTARGTATACAATATTTTTATTATTTTTTATTAAAAAATAATTATTTTAAAAATGTAACCAAAATTAAAATATAAAAATTGAATTTTTATTAATATAAATAATTAGTTTGGCATAATTTTTGTTTGTTTAAAAATAACATCGATTAAAACAATATATTTACATAGTATATAAAAATATATGTACAGTATATTAATAAATTTTAAATTATTTTATGGTTAACAACAATTTAAAAAAACAATAATTTATGAAAAATAAGGCTAAGATTATATGTATTGAATAACATTATGATATAAATAATAAATATATATATGATATTTACAACAAACAAAACAATATTAAATTATTTGATAACATTTGAATTATATGAATAATTAGATAATAATTTTTTTTATAAAACAACAAAAAATTAATAATGAATTTAAAAGTCTATTTAATTGTAGACTTTTCCCGACCGATAGTACCGACCAATCAATCATCGGTTTGCCATCATATGACAACTACCACCACTTGTTGTGGTCGTCATTGCACTCATCAATTCATTACTGATTCTTATCTGACTTTCCTCTACAGTCAGGACACCGCCTTCGACGGCCRCTAAACTCCGATACAAATCATTGATTTGTCGCTCAATATCCTCTACTTGTCTCTTGAGTTCACCGTTCCTGATCTCTTCGGCTTCCTGTGTCAGCTCAAGTGTCTTGCATCTGATCTTCTGATTGATCCGATAAGTAGCCGATGCTTTGGTTTCACGTATTTTCTTGCGCTCGAGTCGTACCTCATCATCCAGTCGTGGCCTACCTCTGCCTCTTTTTCTGCTAACAGCTACCGGTTCTCTAAACACCAGTTCCGTCTCTTCCTTCTCCTCCTGTATGGTAGTAGCGATAGCCTGGTGTAGGATATTGTTGTTGTTGTAGTTGTCGTCGTCCTCTTCGACGATATGCATCAGTGTCTCAATTGTCTTATTTGATGCAATACTACCACCACCTAAGCTACTACTACTACTAGTGTTGGCATCAATTTCGACAATATTATAGCAGCTATAGTCGGATAGTTGCGATTGACCCGACTGTCCGTCAAACATATCGATATCCATGTCTTCAATGTATTTGAGAACAAAACGCATCTCATCCTCGGTTAACAACTGGTCTATTGTTGTCGTCATTGTTATTATTATTATTTTAGTCAATAGATGTGATAAAAAACTGTTTTTTTTAATGTGAAAAAAATTTAGAAAATAAAACAAATTAATTAAAAACTTTATTTTTTTCTGAGTTATAATTTAATTAACTTATGAAATAGTTTTTTACTGAGAAATTCATTGGGGAAAAAAAAAGTTTGCATATTTGCAACTAATTTTTTCAAACACTACAATTTTGTGCCCATTTTATATAGTATTTTGTATAGTAGTCAATCAATGTCTAACATAAATTGGTACTAAATTATCGCTAATGTTATTAGTATTACACACTAAACTCGATCTATTATGAGATATACTGTACTAATACTATATGTATATTACTGATTGAATGTACAGTAACGAACACTATGTATGTATGCTATACAGTGTGTATAGTGTAATGCATACAGTGTTTTATATAACACATACTAACAGTAAAAATAAGTGAATAATATATTTTTATCAAAAAAAAGTAAAATAAAAACATTTAAATAATCAATTGTTTGTTAATAAACTAATAATAATAATAAGTTAGTGATGAAAAAATAATTAGTTAAATAATTTACGGGAAAAAATTAAAAATTTTAGTGACCACACCCAATACAATTTTTTTAATTTTATAAGTTATACAAAAGTTTTTAAAAAACTTTTATAATTATTAATAAATAATAATAAAAAATAACAATAAATACCTTTTTTTTTAAAAAAAATTTCGGCTAAAATTGGTGTTAAAATTGTGTGTTTAAAAAAACTTATTATTAATTTCGTTGTGAATGTTTGGCACAGTTTATAATGAACTGACTATTATTTAGCTAAATGTCTGTCTATTACTACTATTTATATACAGAGAGACTAACTGTGCCGTTGACTACAACTCTCCTCTAATACTGTGCTCCCATTGGTTGAATACACTTATCCTAATACATGGTTACCATTGGCAACGATAGCGTAGTACTGTATGATTCATACAGTATGTGAGACTATAATTGAAATTAGAGATTAAAAAACCATATTTTCAAACACATTGAAAACCTGAAACCCGAAACCAAATTGTTTTAAATTTTTTTCGAACTATAAAAAAAGTTAAATTGAGCTAATTTTTTTTGTTTTAAAATTTTTTAATAATCACATGTACATTAATAGTAATATAAATTGTTAATTTTAGTTTTTTAAAAAAAATATTTAACTAGAATAATTTAGTAATACTATTTAATTTTTATTTTAGGGCCAAAACGGTTTCGGGTTATTTTTAAACGGTACTAATTATGTGGTTAACAAGTCTATAGTAAGTACTCTCACTACTAGTGTTTTAATTATTATTTACTACTCTCTCTTAAAATATATTACAATACTATTGGTTAATATAAAATGGCTTTTGATTGGTTAATAACTAAAATAGTTGCCAACAAAATATGTTATTTTTAATAGTTTTAGTTTTTTTTTAAATTTTTTTTTAGATAAACAAGTAATACAATACTAAGTACAGTATTTTTTCCCAATAACAACAAAAAAACATACACGTATTACGTGTCACGTAGCATTAACGTTTTTTTTAATAAAAATAATAATGTATATTGTACATTTTTTTTAAAAAGAACAAGTATGTTTTTTATGTCTAGACTTAAAGAGAGAGAGAGAGCACCTGTATGTAGGATACTACAGTGAGAGGACAGTTATATATTTATAATTTGTTCAATTTTTAACAAGTTAATTTATAAAAAAAACAGCCCACCCCACCCTAAAACACTACCCATAATTGTTTTGTCTAATTTTTTAAAAAATTAGTTTGAACATGCATATTTTAGTTTTTAAGGTTTTATTGGTTTTTTTTGGTTATTGCTAAATGTATTTAAGTTATATAGTAGTAATAGATTTTTGTTGAAAAAAAATTTTGTTATGAAAATCTAATCTAGTACACCTTAATTTATCATGGTAATTTATTTTAATTATAAATCTGATTAATTAATAAACTATTATATATGTTTATGTATAATAAAGTGTTGCATGTGTTTGGATATGTACAGTATATTTGATTTTTATCAATTTTGAATAAACCTTGCTATTAAACAAAAAAAAAATAATTAATATACAGGTAAATACATTAACAGGATATGCGCCCGATTTTATCATATAGACGAGCAAGATGATAATTTATAAAAATTGATAAAAATATTTTTTTTAATTACTTGTAATTGTTTTTTTACAATGTTAAATTAACACACACACACACACAAAACTGTACTAGTGTAAATATTATTATTTTTAAAAAAAATTAATAGTAATTATTAGTATAATAGTAAAATACAATCAATTAAAGTTAAGTATTTTAATTATTACTAATGTATCACTTGATTATTGTTAGGGTTATTATAATTTATATATTATAATTATTTGAAATTAATTGAAAAAAAATTTAATAGTTAATGCTTTAGTGTATTATTTACTATTATTTTTATAACATAAATATACATTTTTTTTATTTTTTATTAATTAATTAATTGATTGATTGAATTGACGAAAAACTTATTTTCTAAAAATATATTCAATTTAATTAATCTATGAAATAGTTTTTTTTGTCTGAGAAAGTCATTGAAATAGAAAGTAAAAAGTTTTTTTTGGTTGCATTTAAATGATTTGCACCTAATTTTTTTGTGCTCTACAATTTTGTGCCTATTTTATATAGTATTCAACTAATGTCTAACATATTATATTGTATACTATAAAATAGGTACTACACTGTGTTATTTACAGTACATACCTATTACTACTAATAACAATTATTGTTTGATTCAATTAATATCTATGTTTGTTTGATCATGGTTATATGTTTGATCATGGATATTTTAGTTTTTTTAAAAAATTATTTTTTCATGTATAATTTCTATTTTTCACTATTATAATAAACTAGATTGTGTAAATTTAATAAAACAAAATTAACATAATAATTTATTTAAAATTTTATTAAATATTTAATTTTTTTTTTGATTATTTGATTTAATTGATAAACTACTGTAAATGTCTATGTCTAGTGTGTGTGTGTGTGTGTGTGTGTATGTATGTATGTATGTATGTATGTATGTATGTATGTATGTATGTATGTATGTATGTATGTATGTATGTATGTATGTATGTATGTATGTATGTATGTATGTATGTATGTATGTGTGTGTGTGTGTGTGTGTGTGTGTGTGTGTGTTGTGTGTGTGTGTGTGTGTGTGTGTGTGTGTGTGTGTGTGTGTGTGTGTGTGTGTGTGTGTGTGTGTGTGTGTGTGTGTGTGTGTGTGTGTGTGTGTGTGTGTGTGTGTGTGTGTGTGTGTGTGTTGTATATTTGATTTTATCAATTATTTTCAAATGAACCTTGCTATTAAATAATAAATCTAATTAAATAAACAGGATACGCGATTTTATCACATAGAGACACGCATAGCTGATAATAATAATAATAATAATATCACATATATTAAATAAAAAATATATTTTTATATCTATGTTATACTGTAAGTTAAGATTGTATTTTTACAATGTCAAATTAACACTATTACAAAATAATAATAATAATAACTGTACTAGTGTAAATATAAAGTAAGATATTAAATTTTAACTAAATGTTATAATATATATTGTAGTAATATTGATAAAAATTACACTAGGTTAATATTTAGTATTTATTTTTTTAATTTTTTAAAAATTAATTAATTAATATTATTAGTAACCTTGATTATTGTTAGTTATAAATTTATATATAGTAATTTGAAACTAATTGATAAACATTATTTATTTATTTATTTTAATAGTTAATGTTTAGTTTAGCTTAAAATTATTTACTATCATTTTTAAAAAAAAAATAAATATTTATATCAAAAATAATATAGTATATTTATGTTATATATGAAACTAATTTAAATATTATGGTTATAAGTTAAACAAATTTTTTTCTAATTTATATTTATTATTAAAATATTTACATTTATTTGATTACATTTTGATTTTGTACTGTAGATATCAATATAAACTTATCATATACTGGTAATAAATACATTAATTATATATTATATAATATATAACTATACATATAATTATAAAAATTTTGTTATAATTATTAAACAAAAATAAAAATTATAAAAAATACTTAATTTTTTGTTTGTTATTTATTTATAACTTTTAAGTAAATATAACGAAAAAAATAATAAAAAATATTAAAATAAATAATTAATTTGTTAATAAAGTAATGGAAAATAATTTGTAAATATATGGATATTTTAATCATTAAGTTTATATTTTTATTATTATTACTGTATTAAATTGAATACAAAATACAATAAATTGTTGTTTACTGTATATATATATATATAGAGTATATTTGAATTAATAAATCTAATCGCATAGTTGTTATCATCAAATTTTTTTTTATTAACATATCATTTAACAGTCTTGAAAAATATCGCTAATATTTGAATGATAAATATATATATATATAATATATATATGAAAAATATAAGTGATATTTATTATAGCAATAAAAAATTAAATATTTTTATACATTAATTGTACAGTATATTGGATATAATTAAATTGAAAAAAATCATATAAATATACAGTATTTAATAATATTATCATTAAATTCAAATTTATCACTATCAATATATAGCATAATATAATATAAAAATTTTATATTTAAATGATTTTATATTTTTTAAAAATATATATATAATAATAATGTGCTTTATTTTTATGTGAATTTTTATTTTAAATATGATTTATATAAATTTTTATACAGTATATAAAAAAATTAAGTTATAATTATATTTGTTATATGATTATTGAAAATATTTTGTATAGAAAATTATTAAATATATATACAATCATTATTATAATGTAATCAATATATAATGAATATATAGTTATTTTTTGGTGTATCAACAAAAAAAAGTTATAATTAATTATAATAGATAATTAAGGGAAAGGGATTACATATAACTGTTTGTGATAGTCATCTCATTGATTATTTATTTTTATTTTTTTAAAAAAATAAAATAATTATCATTAGTGTAATCAATGGCAAAGAAAATTATTGTCAATTGCAATACAATTAGACTAAACAACAAAAACAACTGTCTATTGATAATAATGTTGTTGTTTATATTGATCCGGTTTAGCCATTGTCTACCGGAGCCGGCAGTGACTACCAGTGCCGACAACGACGACGACTGTTTAGGCAGTAATTGTGACAAAGATTTCATATACTGTACAAACATTGTCGACATCATCAACGGTACTATTGATCCATCGGTAGTGATGACGACCACTACCAGATGCCGGTGTACTGCCGACTATCCCATAGCGTTGGACAATAGATTTTGTTTGTCTCATCGTCACATCAATCAGTCGTGTTTTCTAACCCAACAGTGCAAACAAAACAACATACACACCAATATTGCCTGTTTCAGGTCAACCGATCGGCACAATATGATCGAAACCTATACAGCTGTCCAATTGCTAGTCGATAGGCTATCGTCGGCTACGGGAACTATCATACCCACCACCACCGGTAGCGGCAATCAATCGGCGGCGGCCAATATACCGACTGCCCGATGCCAGTGCTATCCCGACCACTACTACGACAGCGAACGGCGTATGTGTTTGTGTCGTAAGGACAGACGCCAGACGTGTCGGACGTATAGTCTGAGTCTAATTAATAATAATAATAATGTCTATGAAAACAACGTCACGGGAGGAGTAGGAGGAGGAGGAGGAGGAGGAGGAGGAGGAGGATCAGCATCGTCAGCACCGTTACATTTTGCCGAAACCATTGTATT